CTAGATGAAATTTTGAACGTTTATGAAGTTTTACAGTGACTGAAATTTCATAGTGAAAAACCTGTATTTTTCATTTAAGACCCTGGTTCCTAAGTTTGCCTCATCACTGATTCTTAAGCCTTGGGAACATAGGAGAATCAGTAGCGGAAATTTTTCTTTTCCTTTTCATTTCTCCCTTCCTTCCTTCCTTTTTCTCTCTGTCTCTGTCCCTCTCTTTCCCTCTTGCTCCCCTCCAGTCTCTTTTTTTAAAAAATGTATGGACAGTTCACTGCCCCAGAAATTCTGATTTCAGTGGTCTAAAGTGGTGGATCCTTGATACCACTATATTTTAAAACTTACCTGAGTCTAATGTGCAGCCATTGTTCAGAATCCATAGCATTTATCACTGGATGCTTGTTATAAATTCAGAATCTCAAACCCTACCCAGGCCTACTGAAAGAGGATCTGCATTTTATTTATTTAAAGAATCTGCATTTTAATAAGATCCCCAGGCAGCTTGTATGTAGAGTAAAATTGGAGAAGCACTGTCTAGAATTAGTGAATATCTGGCAGTGGACCCAAGGGTTCCCTCAGACTGTAGTTCTCGAAGTGTGATCCCAGGACCATCTACAGTCACATGGGAGTTTGTTAAAAATGCACATTCTGAGCATCAACCTAGACTTTCTGAATAGGACACTGGGGAGGTGGGGGCAGCAATTTGTGGTTTAATGAGCTCTCCAGATGATTCTTAAGCAGGGAGCATTGCACTAGGAGATTCAAGTAGGTATTGGGATTTGGAACCACTGGATTGAGAGAATCCTTTCTACAAGCTCTTTATTAAAAGAAATACTCCTGAAGTAAAGGGGCATTAATGTTGCAACTTAACTTTCAAATGATTTAACAAGCTAAAAAAGAAAAAAAAAAAAAAACTATATGTGTCTATGGGTATTTGTAGAGAAAGGAAAAGCAAATATGGCAAAGGTTATTTTCTACCATAGCATTTATAAAAATGATATGAACTATGGGCACCTATCCAGGTCGCTCAGTCGGTTAAGTGTCCGACTCTTGATTTTGGCTGGGGTCATGAATCTTGGGGTCGTGAGTTCCAGCCCTGTGTTGGGCTCCGTGCTCAGCAGAGAGTCTCCCTCTGCCATGCCCTAGCTCATGCTCTCAATCTCTTTCTCTCTTAAAAAAAAAAAAAAAAAAAAAGACCTAAGTTCAAGTAGAGTAACTAGTTTAAGGTAATTAGCCAGCAAGCAGGTGGCAAAACCAGAACTTGAGCCTCCATGCCCTTTGTACATTACCACAAGCTGGAGTTTGATGTTGTTTTTCATGTTAGCTTGCCTGAGTTCACCGTCCCAGGCATCTAGGAATGTGGCTGTGTTGCATTCTACAGGCCCAGGAGCAAACTTGAAAATTTAGTCATTGACTTCCATTATTATGACTAACTCTCCCCTCCCCCACCCCATCCCCTCCTTCCCTCCCACTCTCCTGTGTCATAGTTCCCTCCCTACCCCCTATTATCATCATTCTTATTATTAGACTTTGGGATCTGGGCATGTTCATATATTTTATTTTGGCTTCTAACAGAACCAAGTGTTCTTTGGTTTGAGTTGGGCATATGCAGAAAAATGCTTGATTTGTGTAGCCCAGACTTACTATTTCAGTTTTCAGGCCAGTTATTAACTAGATAGAGTTGCAAATTTGCCCTGATTTAGCATTGGTTTCAGAACAGTGGGAACTATTAAGTGTTTTACTTTTTAAAATACTGTACCTCATCCATAAAATGTGTTGATTAAAGATTGCTGTTAAATTGTCTCTCCTCCTGTAACATTTCTTAAAAGTTTTGATCCAAATTAGAATTAGATGAGTTCTTTAGGTTGTTGACTTTTTCTTTTTTTTTAATAGCAATAATTTATTCCTACCTGACGATTAAAGAAAAATCCTCTATAAGAATTGTTGACCTCATGGAGGTCTGCCTTTAATTGAACTCATGATGGCATTTTTATATAATGTGTAAAAGAGCATCCGGAGACAGAGCCAACATGGTCTTATTTGCTTTTATACAAATTAAATTGCCCTTGTGGCCCAGCATAAAATCTAAGTGCTAAGAGCAGTTATTTATTTTGACAACAGAATTAATTGAGCCTAAACAGTTGAGATTCCAGTTGTAGCAAACTATTCTTTCTGAGTCTCACTCTGGCTTTGGGACTGTCAAAAAAAGTAACTTGTCTTATGATTAAATAGCAGAATGATGGGCAGTGGACTGCATTTGAGGGAGATGCTGAATAAACTTTCTACTTGTGAAACATTTCAGAATTGACATGCTGCAAGGGGGTCAGAATGCACATTGACATCCAGCTGAGCTGGCAGCTGGCACAGAGCCAGGCACGCAAAGCTTTGCTGTGTGAAGTGGCATGTGGAACATATGCCGTTTGATAAAGAAAATCTTTTTCATGCATGAGTTAATTTTTTAAAGGTATTTTTAGTTTTATTATACCAGAAATTTCGTATTTCTGTCTTTAATAGAAAAGCTTATATGCTGAAGGTACTCAGTGTAAAACTTTTATATGTATTTTACAATTTGAAAGGATCTGGCATCTCATATTTCAGAAATGTTTGTGATTTTGAACAGTTTATTTTTATTGGACATTTCCCTATTCCAAATGAATTTTAAGAGGGTGTTTAGAAAAGATACAGGGAAAAGCAATTGAGATATATCTGGTATAGGAAAAAGGTTTTGTGAGAAAAAAGTGTAGAATTCTGTTGGAGGGAACTTTGGTAGAGTTAAGGGGTGCCTTTGCTATTTCCATTTATATGAAAGCATCCAACGGGCCGCCTGGGTGGCTCAGTCGTTAAGCGTCTGCCTTTGGTTCAGGTCAGGATCCCAGGGTCCTGGGATCGAGCCCCACATCGGGCTCCCTGCTCAGCGGGAAGCCTGCTTCTCCCTCCCTCACTCCCCCTGCTTGTGTTCCCTGTCTCGCTGTGTCTCTCTCTGTCAAATAAATAAATAAAATCTTAAAAAAAAAAAAAAAAAGATTATATGAAAGCATCCAAAGATCTTAAAAATATATATATATCACATTTGCTAAGATGATGTTATAAAAGTCTTTCTAGATGCTCTATTTTAAAATATTTGTAAATAATGCAATTTGTTTGGCATTGATTTTTTGTTTTGTTTTTCCTCTGTAGAATAAGCCCATAGCCTGAAGAATTGAGATTCTGTAAATCATTACTGGGCACAGATTATGTGATATGTAACTGTAGGAGCTCTCAGATTTATTTGATAGGTGGTCATAGTCTCTTAAGGTTTATTAGTAAGTGATAAAGCTAATAATACATAATAAACTGTTGGTAATTTAGGTAGAGATTTTTCATTCTTCATAATTTTTACATCAGCTAGTTGCTAATTATCAGATGGACATACTACAGTTCTTTACCTTTAGAGATCTTTCAGTTTCATCTCTTTGTGAACTGTTAACTTAAGCCTCTAATGGATTTTAACAACAAGCTCATTTAATGAATTCTTAGCTTCCAGATTTGCAGAGTTGACTTGAAGTCTTTAAATTTTTAATTAGGCCATGTTCTGATTCTAAGGCTTTTTTGGGTGGAAGTAGTGAATGTATTTTTTTCTTTTTTTTGGTCACATGATATGTATCATAAGAATACTATAGTAAGAAAGGTATTGCTAATTAATTGATTAGGACTTTGTTTATCAACTCTTCTTTGAGTTTTTTTAAAGTTATTTTGCTTATCCCTAAATGTTAAAGTACTCTATTTGAATAGAAACCGGAACTGAAGAAGTAGATCTTAGATTTGGGGTCAGGAAGAAGGACATTTTAGCGAATATTTTTAGGTGTTCCTACTTGTAGAGAAATCTTTCTTTGTTAATCAGTGCCTTTCTTTTGTAATGGAATCATCAGTGGGAACTCTGATTATGAACTATCATAGGTACAGTTAAACTTAACGTCTCAAAAGAACCAATAACGAAATCTTCCATTTTCTACTCTTCAAGCTCTATTTTTAAATTATTTGAAATAATATGTTGAACCTATTACTATTCATAAGTTACTTCAGAAAAATACTGGACTTGCTTAAATTTAAGTATTAAAAAACAGGGCTAAAATGATAGTTTAACAGAAGATAATTTTTTAGTCTGATACTTAGCTTTGGGGATGTTTCAGTAGAACAGTGATTCATGCTTTTGCTAACTTTCTTACTACCTAAATAATTTAGTATTCCATGTAAATGAAATATACCATTATATGGGATTTAAGGCTAGTCTTAGCAGATCTATTATTTTAGGGCTATTTTGTTTTTCAGCTGATAGCTATTTTATCATCTTCTTCCTCTCTGTAGTCTATCCCTCATACCAGTGCTAAATTAATTTTCTTGTAAGCCACTTTGCAGGGGCATGTGTGTATCACCTCACATGAAAACTCTTCCCATTACCTGCAAACTACAAGTTCACATTCCTTGACCCACTATACAGTTAGAGCATCACCACCTAGCTACTACGCAATTAGTGCATTTATTTATTCAGCAGATATTTGTTAAAGACCTATTATTTGCCAGTTCACAGTCGTCTACTAGACAGACAAATTCCCAAGCTTACATTCTAGTAGTATTTACTTGTTGGTCCCCCTGCCCTCCCCATTAACAAAACCAAGGATTCAACAACTGCCTTTTATTATGCTTGTTTTCTCTCAAGTATTCTGCAAGCTCCTTGAAAGCAGAAACTACAGATTAGGTTTGTGTCACCAGTTCTGTAGTATCATATATAAAAGGTTTTCAGTAAATTGTGATCATAATAATAGGCTAGTCTCAGTTTTTGTCACTGTTAGGATTATTTGAATTTTAAAATTATTGATATTTTAATTAGTGCTATCAGATAACACTAGAACACATGTCAGGTCAGTTAAAAAGCTGTAATGGGATCTGATCTGATTGTTTCCCTCAACTTGCCTTTTTTTCTTTTTAATTTTTACTAGCAGTTGTTCATCTGTTTTTTGTTTGTTTAGGCCTTATTGAATTTGAAGAATGTGACCCCGCTAGTGCAGTTGAAGGTAAGTTGACTATTTGTAATAGTGTTAACTAGCTAATATCTTCTGTTATTGAATAAATAGAGTGGCTGTTATCCATTGGTGTCAGCCTGTCTGTGGAGTGATACAGAACATCTGAATGTGGTTTGAAGACCTACAGATAATATTCTTTACTTAATAAATAAACAGTAGGTTTGCCCAAAGGAGTATTGAGTGTGTTAGAGTATATATCTTAAAAGATTAAATACAACATGTATTTATTTTCAAATATACATTGAGATTATTTTCTTTATTGACATCCATTTTAAACATTCTCATGTCATAAATATGAAAATGATCACTACACATTGATGTATAAGACTTACTCCTTTTTTTTTTAAGTTTTTATTTATTTGACAGAGACACAGCAAGAGAGGGAACATAAGCAGGTGGAGTGGGAGAGGGGGAAGCAGGCTTCCCACTGAGCAGGGAGCCCAGTGTGGGGCTTGATTCCAGGACCCTGGGATCATGACCTGAGCCGAAGGCAGACACTTAACGACTGAGCCAC